GATGGCCTTACAAGTGAGAGGAAAGGAGTACATTTGCTTCTAAGTCTTGCTTCCCACATCGGCGGGTACAAGATTGTGGTAGGCGCCCACAACACTGTTGGATGTCAGATTCACGTGGGAGGTTGTGTTGTCTTCTTCGGGTATGACAGACGTTGGCGCCTGCCACACTGTTGATACCTGGAGGCTTACAAGGGGTTTTACCATGTTCATCTGGTACGGTAAATGCCGACGCCCACAACACTGTCGATGCCCAGAGGCATGTGGGGGAGCCTTACCGTATGGGAGTTAATGGCGCCCACAATAATGTAGGAGAAAATGTCGGCGCCTACAACACTGCTTGAGTTCTATCGTGCCAGGGAGGTCGCAGAGTATTGCCTAGCAGGTGCGTAGGGTACGATCTCTGGTTTTTGCTGTTTGACTTGTGCGCCATGCCTTATTTTCTTCGTCTGTTCCCTGGTCCTTATCGAGCGGGCGTCCCCGGTCGGTGAGTCCTAGTCGGCTCTGAATGCGCTAGTTGGAGAAGAGCAGTGAGCAGGAGTCTGGTGCATCCCCAGTCGGAGACGTGGGTCGGAGTCGGAAGTAGTGCTTTGGCTAGGCCTTCCGGTCAGAGAGGTCGTCCAGAGGCGGGCTGAAGACTGAAGCGAGCGCTCCGGTCGGAGAGGTGGGCCAGAGTCGGAAACAAACGCTGTTCCTCCTCGACCAGGCCTTCCGGTCGGTGATTGGATCGCCCTTCTGGCCTATTGTTTAGGTACTTGGGCCGACCCATGAGTTATGCGTTGTTTGCAACATAGCCTGCTGGGCCGAGTCTCTGTTGGGAAGTCGATCCGTGTGGGGGTATTAACCCCTATACCCTTATAGCTAGGCTTGGGCCGGCCCGGACCAAGGGGTTTGGCCTACTAGAAGACTACGCGTGGCCTGGTCAATCTGTTCGGAGTCCTACGCAACTTCCGGCTAGCTAGTCGGGGACTCTCGACCACCTGCTCGGGGACTGTTGTCTGACTGCTCCCTTGTTGAGGCTCCAATGGATCTTCCGCTACGGCTTTCTCGGTGGCCGGCTGCTGGGCAGTCTGCTCTGAACTCATTGGCGGAGCCACGCAACTTCCGGCTAGCTAGTCCAGACTTTCTGTGGACGCCGAACTAGTACATCCGAGAAAAGTTTAGCAGGCAACCATGTTTAATGCAAATTGCTAACTTATAATAAGGTTACAAATACTTACATGTTAGAAGTGCGGAACGATGTGGCGAAGGCGCGTCTCTTCGGCCGCACTTGCTCCATGTGCTGTGCGGGTGACTCCTGGTCTCCCTCTACATCCAGCACTGTCGCTGGGCCTTGGTGCTCGACCCCTCCGCCACTTGTCCTCTGCGCTGTAGTGGTCGGTGGTGTGCTCGGTCGGGTTATCGCTTCCATCGCCGGTCGCGTTCCTCGCCTAGGTACTCCTGAGGTCGACTCGGCTACATCCTTCACCGACGTTGACGATGTGGGTCTCATGGGCGCGGATGAGACACCTTGCCCCATCGACTCTAGTTGTTTCCTCTTCTTTCGAGGTACAAGTTGAAAGGTGTTTGCATCCTCTCCCTCCTCTGCATCATCGTCCGACCAGGCAAAAATCGCCTGACGACGCTTGCTGGCCGGTCCCTCCTTCGGGCCTCCCTTGGGCTCGTTAATATTTAGTGTCCCCCCGATGAGCAGGGAGGTTGCTGATCTCTTCTTCGACTGTTTGGGGACAGCCGGCCGCTACCAGCGGCTAGGGCCGCTGCCTCCTCTCCAGCACCAAGCACCACCCAGTCGACGTCCTCGTCCTCGATATCGACGCTGGTCTGGGTGGCGGGACCACCTCCTTGTGGCCACTCCACTCTAGGGGGTGGCGACACAAATACTGTCGCTCTATCCCGACCATTGACCTGGGTAACAAAAATGAGTGCACACAGTAAGTTTCCGATTTTCCTATTGCGATATAAAACTACGGGTACAAAGTAAGATGAGTTACCTTTGGGGGAGGTCGGGCAAGCTTGAAAGCGTGCTCGATGTCACTCAATCTGGCATAGTTTGGATCAGCTAAGTTAAATAGCTCTCCAATTCTAGCTTTAACTTCGATTTTGTCAAGCGCCTCCCGCCGCGTCCTCGTCGGGTCCGCGCTACCTTGATATTCATAGCCAGGATGTACTCTCCTCTGGCAGGGCTGGATCCATCGGCTGATGAAACTCCCGACCACGCTCGGGCCATCCAGTTTTTCTGGAATCTGTTCCAGGTGCTCGGGTTTCTCTGACCAGCTTGTCCTCTTCTCCGGAATGTACCCCACGTCGCACAGTGTGATCGTGTTCGGCTCTTCGCGAATGTAGAACCATTTCTTGTACCAGTCGTCAAGCGACGTGTTCCATGGGCAGTGCAGGTACTGGGCTTTCATGCCATCACGGAGGTTGAGGTACACAGTCCCGGCTATTTTTGAACCGCCGCTTCCTTTCTTCCGCAGACAGAAAAGATGGCGGAAAAAATCGAAATGGGGCTGGAAGCCGCCATATGCCTCGCAAAGATGTACGAAAGTGGCGACAAGGAGGATCGAGTTGGGATGTAGATTGCAAATTCCAATCTCGTAGTAAAGACAGAGCCCCTAAAGAAAAGGATATACTGGAACCCCAAATCCCCGTTTAAAGAAGTCTTCGAACACCATGATCTCACCTGATTGTGAATCGGGGTACCCCTCGCCCTCCGGCGCACGCTATCCTGTGAGCTCCTTGTTGTGGAGTACTCTCATGGTGACGAGGTCTTCAATGGTCTGCTCGTTGCTTCTCGATTTCCACCATTCCTTCGGCATGACCCCTGCTTTTTCTGCGCATCACTTTTCGCCATGAATCTGGCTTTGCTAGTGAACGAGAAAAAGGAGGAGGATTGATTGGTGGCGATTTCAGATGTATTAGGGTTGACGAGAGGAAGAAGAAAGCTGTGACTGTGAATGGCAATGGGGTTCAGAAAAAAGTAAGTTACCCCTCCTACACTGTATTTAACCCAAGAGTTATGCCATTTCGTCTGCCCGGGATTCTTGGAAGACGTGCGCACGCGCCGCAGACGGTTGTTTTCACAGTTTCGAGATCTACGCCAATATATGCGCCTCTTCGTTGCCAGTGTGGGAGGGCCCACGTTGACGCACCTACTTACAGGTGCCACACAACTGTTTGCTTGACAGGACAAAAATGCAGTATGACGTACTATGCTCGTCTATTTTTTTGACCAGACGTGTCAAATTGGACTTGACAGAACAAGTAAATAAATAAATATGTAAAATAATAGTACAAGTGATTATCCTTGTGCTCGGGGACTGTCGCGATTATTCTTGTGCTCGGGGATTGTCCAGACCACCGTTGTGCTCGGTGACTGTCTCGACCACTCTCGTGCTCGGGGACTGTCTCGACCACTCTCTGACTACAGCTTGGGGGCTTCATCCCTCGCTCCTTGACTTATGCTCGGGGACTGCCTCGACCACTCTTCGATCACAACTCGGGAACTTCGTGTCTCGACTACATGCGACTCGTGACTCGCATACAGTTGGAATATTTTTTCTTCATTTGACCTTGCTACAAGGCTGATAATCTCGCCTTCCAGCAAGCTCGGGGACTACATCGGTACGATGCACCTGCCGGTGCATCTCGTATCGCTTGTACGACGATCAGATTTTCAACTTAATTGAGAATTTTTTTAGACCCTGGCATCACGTGTCTGCGTCACCTACTATCAGGCTCGGGGACTAAGTGGGCACACTTCACCTTACAGTGAATGTGTTTATTTTATCGACCCCTACGCTCTGACTGTTGGCCATGACTGTTGGCCATAACTGCTATTGTACAAGGGTCACTTACATTTCTTTTCAGAAATACAAGTGGGCACATTTTATCAGGAAAGAAATCTTTTTCTTTTTTCTTTAGAGCATCATGCATTCTTCGGACAACCGGAATCTTCGGCTATAATCGTGGTCTACTGCTCTCTGTTCTGACCAGAATACTGGCACATTCGCTTGGTCAACGTTTCAACCAGTTGGAGGTAACATGAAGATGGATCGTATTAGTCGAAGGATATCGAACGACGTGTCGCAGCATAATACATGGTGCTCGGAGACTAGCTGTGGGGGTATTAACCCCTATACCCTTACGGTTAGGCTTGGGCCGGCCCGGACCAGGGGGTTTGGCCCACTAGAAGACTACGCGTGGCCCGGTCAATCTGTTCGGAGCCCCGCGCAAGTAATCAAGGCAGATATGGAGGTAAGATCCTGGTCGGTTAAAATAGGAATCCTTATCCGGCCACCTATGTCAATTATAACTGGTTAGGATTAGTTTTCAGATCTGTAACCCTGCCCCCCAGACTATATAAGGCGGGTATGGGACCCCTCTCAAAAACATCTCTCATTGACATACAGCAATAATACAATCAGACGCATGACGTAGGTATTACGCCATCCCGACGGCCGAACCTGGATAAAACCTCGTGTCTGTCTTACGTCACCATCTTATTTATAGCTTGCGCATCTGTCTGCTGATAATCTACTACCTTAGGCATACCTCTAGGTAGACTGCCGATCATATTTCGTCGACAGTCCACGAGGAACCTCGGGTTTATGAACCCGACATATATGAAGATAATTTTTATATGAAAATTGTATATCTCGACGAGACCTACAACTTTCTAGTTTTGAGTTTTTTTCATTTGAAGTTGTTAAGATGCTTAAAAAATTGATGACATATTTAGATTTAAGGGTATTTTTTACTTTTCACACTTACAGTTTGACATTAATAGAACCTAATCTAATAGTAGTGACATGGAGGGAAAAAAAAATTTAAAGCAGCGATACTGAAATCCGTCGAACTTTTTTTTATGACTCATAACTAATTGCGATTCTCTCTTTTTATAATGGCATATCGTGGAGTATTAGAGTCGGGCCATTCGTTCCGCTTCGCCGCCTCCGTGTCGCCTCCGCCCCGCAGAACCCTGAACCCTAAAGGCCGCCGCCACCATGCGCCGCCTCCCGCCCGTCCCCCGCTCCGCCGCCGCCGCCGTCGCCTCCACATCCACCCCGGACATCGTCGCGGAGCTCGGCCGCGTCATCTCCACGCGCCGCTGGAACAAGGGCCGCGCCTACAAGCGGCTGGCCCCCTCCGTGACGGCCGCGCACGTGGCCGACCTCTTCCGCGCCCCGGTGACCCCCCTCGACCCGGCCACCGCTCTGGCCTTCTTCGAGTGGGTCGCGCGCCGCCCCGGGTTCCGCCACACCGCCGCCTCCCACGCCGCGCTGCTCCAGCTCCTCGCCCGCCGCCGCGCGCCCGCCAACTACGACAAGCTCGTCGTCTCCATGATCAGCTGCTCCGGCACCGCAGAGGACATGCGCGAGGCCGTCGACGCAATTCAGGCAATCCGTCGAGTGGGTGGTAAGCGACTCGTGCTGTCCCCAAAGTGCTACAACTTGGCGCTCAGATCGTTGCTTCGATTCGACATGACGGAGTATATGGGGAAGTTGTACTCACACCTCGTGCAGGAGGGATTGTTGCCAGACACAGTGACTTACAACACTATGATCATGGCATACTGCAAGAAGGGCAGTCTTGCCATAGCACACCGGTATTTCCGTCTGTTGAGGGAGTCTGGGATGGAGATGGATACATACACATGTAATGCATTGTTGCTGGGGTACTGCCGAACAGGTGACTTGAGAAAGGCTTGCTGGCTACTTATGATGATGCCGCTGATGGGTTGCAGGAGGAACGAGTACTCCTACACCATTCTGATTCAGGGGCTCTGTGAAGCATGGTGTGTAAGGGAGGCACTTGTGCTTCTGGTCATGATGGTACAAGATGGGTGCTCCCTGAATCTGCACACATATACACTCTTGATCAAAGGTCTTTGTAAGGAGGGTAGGATTCATGATGCCAGGAGGTTGCTTGATGAAATGCCTCTGAGAGGGGTGGTTCCAAGTGTTTGGACATATAATGCAATGACTGATGGGTACTGTAAGTCAGGAAGGATGAAGGATGCATTGGGGATTAAGGCACTGATGGAACGAAATGGGTGTAATCCAGATGACTGGACATACAACACTCTGATTTATGGCCTATGCGGTGGGAAGCCTGACGAAGCTGAAGAATTGATGAATGGCGCTATTGCGAGGGGCTTCACGCCTACAGTTATCACATTCACTAACATTATTAATGGGTATTGCAAGGTTGAAAGGATTGATGATGCACTCAGGGTAAAGAGTAGCATGATATCAAGCAATTGCAAACTTGATTTACAGGCATATGGAGTGTTGATCAATGTCCTCATCAAGAAGCATAGATTAAAAGAAACTAAAGAGACGCTGAACGAGATGTTTGCAAATGGTTTAGCTCCTAATGTTGTCATCTACACCTCTATAATTGATGGGTATTGCAAGGTTGGGAAGGTTGGTGCTGCACTAGAGGTCTTCAAATTGATGGAACATGAAGGTTGCCGTCCAAATGCCTGGACTTACAGTTCTTTGATATATGGGTTAATTCAGGATCAAAAGCTTCATAAGGCAATGGCTTTAATAACTAAAATGCAAGAGGATGGGATAACTCCTGGTGTTATCACTTATACTACTCTGATTCAAGGCCAGTGCAAAAAACATGAATTTGATAATGCTTTCAGGTTATTTGAAATGATGGAGCAGAATGGCGTGACACCTGATGAGCAAGCATACAATGTCCTAACTGATGCACTATGCAAGTCTGGAAGAGCTGAAGAAGCTTATTCATTTCTTGTCAGGAAGGGAGTCGTCCTCACAAAGGTAATATATACATCCTTAGTTGATGGTTTTAGCAAGGCAGGCAATACTGACTTTGCTGCCGTCCTTATAGAGAAGATGGTCAATGAGGGTTGTAAGGCAGATTCGTACACATATAGTGTACTGTTGCAGGCTTTATGTAAACAAAAGAAGTTGAATGAAGCTTTGTCTATACTGGATCAGATGACCCTAAGTGGAGTCAAGTGTAACATTGTTGCTTATACAATAATCATCAGTGAAATGATCAAAGAAGGGAAGCATGACCATGCTAAGAGCTTGTTCAATGAAATGATTTCATCAGGACATAAGCCTAGTGCAATCACATATACTGTATTCATTAACTCGTACTGCAAGATAGGTCGAATAGAGGAGGCTGAGCATCTAATTGGGGAAATGGAAAGAGATGGTGTCGCACCTGATGTGGTAACCTATAATGTATTCATTAATGGTTGTGGGCATATGGGATATATGGATCGTGTATTTTCTACTCTGAAGCGCATGATAGATGCATCATGTGAGCCAAATTACTGGACTTATTGGCTTTTGCTCAAGCATTTTCTAAACATGAGTTTGGTTAATGCTCATTATGTAGACACATCTGGCATGTGGAACTGGATTGAGCTGGACACAGTTTGGCAGCTTCTTGAAAGGATGGTGAAGCATGGCTTAAATCCTACAGCAGTGACATACAGTTCTATCATTGCAGGATTCTGCAAAGCAACACGTCTAGAAGAAGCGTGTGTGCTTCTTGATCATATGTGTGGAAAAGATATATCTCCCAATGAAGAGATATACACAATGCTTATCAAGTGTTGTTGTGATATCAAGCTCTTTGAAAAGGCTGTGTCATTTGTTTCCGACATGATAGAATTTGGGTTTCAGCCTCATCTCGAGTCCTACCACTATCTTATTATAGGGCTCTGTGATGAGGGGGACTATGACCAGGCTAAATCACTGTTCTGTGACTTACTAGGAATGGACTATAATCATAATGAAGTTGCATGGAAAATTTTGAATGATGGTTTGCTCAAAGCTGGCCATGTGGATTTTTGTTCACAGTTGCTGTCTGCTATGGAGAATAGACATTGTCGGATTGACTCTGAGACATATTCAATGGTGACTGATAACATTCATGAGGCTTCTGGCAGTGTGGTTAATGAACTCAGAGGAGAAACTGCCTGACCGATGGTAAATTTCATTTTCTATTCTTTCCCACGGTGCGCAACTGTTTTCTGTGTGCCAGGCTCAACATTTTGAAATCATCCATTTCATCTGGGCCATGTGATATAATGGTTAGTGGTCCCACAGATCATGTGGAGTATGCTGTTCATACCATATTTTATCAAAATGCGTGTTGCCTCAAAACTGGAACAACATAGCTTCTTTCATCCATTTTGTTCATGATTCCATTGAAGCTCAAGCTTGTGAATATTCCAATTCTTATTGGTCTGTATATCAATCGATAATTCAACCTTAGGTAATGTTTTGCTTGGCTGTTAGTCTTGTAAAAGTGTATGCAAAAGCCTTCGGTGGACAACTAGTCTGAGTAGATTATTCCTTCTCTATGGTTGTGTCATTCTAGTGCAAGTGGTAATCAGATACTGAAATTCTACTGCTTACGATTTGATGTTTACTACTTAGCTTTATCATATTCATGTTGATTTGATAAACAACCAGGTGGTGAATAGTTTTGATGACATAACTTGGTAATTCTAGGCAATCATGTTCTTCTTTCCCTGACAATCCCTCCAGCGTGTAATGTCTACTTCAGTAATTTTTTAAAAAACAAACAAACTTCCTGTTTAGTGCTTATGTTTGTAGTTTTGCACGGTTCTTTTATACGCTGATGGATCTAACAAGAAGTGTTTCGCTCTGTAGCTGTGTCCTGATAGATTGTGCCTAAGTTCTTGTTTGCTAGTAATTGTGCACGTGTCTTGCAGATGAAGCTAAAACAAAGAGTAGTATTCCATGTCATGAAATGATTTTAGATACTGTCGAATACTTTAAGTTTAAATACTCCTCATTAATATTTATGGCACACAGCTGAACCAAACAGACCCATAGTATGCTTCCTGACATGAAGTTAGGCTTTACCATTTATTCTGGGTGACATTTCTCTCTCTTGTAGCTACAATGCTCAATATTTATAGCAGTTCTATTCTCTTTTTTTTTCAACAGGTCACGACTGAATAAGCTATCATTTGCCAATTTTCATTACTGTGTACAGCCTGTATAAAATGATAGCTAATGTGTGATACTTAGGCTCTGTTTATTTCAGCCAGTTTCTGCCTTTTTGCCTAAGCAGAAAGCTGAAGCAAACAGCTAGCTTTTGAAATCGGCTTTTGGGAAGCAACACTTTGTTTTTATTAGAAATTTAGAAGCTAGAAGGTGGTCTGTAGGAACTTATGTTGACTTCTAAGTTCTAAGGGATTATAATCTGAGGGGTATTACATATATTATACATTTCAAGAAACAGGTTTTCTAGAAGCAGTGACATCATTTAAAAGCCAGTTTTTGAAAAGCATCAGCACAAACCAACATGACCTTAGATATGGTGCTATTGTTTATTAGTGTGCCAGTGCTAACTGTGATGTACCGTTTTGATATACTTGCTTTAGAAGTTTCTTGGTAGTGTTGGGCATGGCAGCCTGCCTTTTCTGTTTCTTTTTTCTTTTTAAAAAAACTTGGGAGTCGAGCATCTGATTATCCCTTTTTGAAGATTAAACTACTCCAGAGCAATGAAGCCTCAGTTTCATTAATTTTATAGACTTGTTGATTCCTCAGGTATTTATGAACAGGGGCATTGCTTAGGAGTGAAAGTAAGAACTTACCACTGCTACAATTCAATCAGGACAGGAGGAAGCCATTTCATCAATTGATCATCATTTTCCAGGAAATGACAATGCTAATAAGGGTGATTTAGTTCAAAATGACTTTCATAGATGTCCTGATCCTGATCTAAATCAGATTTCTGGCCGGCATTTTCTCAAGTATGCCTACCCCCAATCCTGATGTCTCTCTCGCTCCTCTCTCCCCCTCCCCCCTTCCTTTCCCTTCTTCCTCTCTCCATTACAGGCATGTGTGTACACAGGCTTTAGTTACTTTGATACACTGGGACCTTCTCACACATTATTACAGGCAGTGTTTCATTTGAATGGATAAATAACTTAATCCTGCTTTTTTCCCCATGTAGCATGGATGGTTACTGCTGCTATATTTATCCTGTCATTGAGAAATTGTTGCAAGGTTTGTGGAGTAATAACTTGGAGCAAACTAATACAGAAAAATGGTTATCATGGTAAATTCCTGCTGCCTCCTTCATGTCAATTAAACAGAATCCATTGCCAGTTTCTTTTTTTTGCATCTAAAAATCAACTTTATTTTCTCCCAATTTGAGTAGGAGAGTTATCTTGCTCTCTTCATGATGAGGACCTTGGTGGTTCGTCAGCAAAACTTGGGAATTAGCAGACAAAGCTGCCCTGGATCAAGTCTGTAAAGCAAAATCATCAGATACTCTCAAGCATTCACCTGATGATGAAATAGAAGGGGATAGTTTATTTACAATCCAGGCTACTCGACAGTATTATTTCTATGAAGCAGGGACATGCAGGGACATGGTAAGTTTTCATTTGTCATGTACATTATTATTCCTTATGCAGCCATACAAGATGGTTTTGGTTGTTGCCTGCTTTATTAATTCCCTTGCTGCTGCAGTACTATTTTAATAATTAGTCTTCACAGTGCTAAAATGAACTGGTTAGATGTGTTTATATTTCTTCAGCTTTCTGAATCGAAATTTCAGTCCGTCTTATATCTTGCGGAAGATTTGATACTCAAGGTTGTCCGGAATATTTCTTATGAGTTGGATTCTTTCAACAAAAAAAGAAAATGGGATCATGTCATTGTGAATCAGTTTCTTCATGATCTGAGGGAAGCTAAGAAGCGTGAAACTCAGAGAGGAGACACAAGGAAGCTCTAGCTATCCTGGCTGCAACTGCACCTTCTGTTGTACCGATCTCACGAAATGCAACAGTGAGGAAAGAGACAGAAAACAATGTGACATCTGCTAAACGAGAGGTTATCACTGTGCTTTGCTTGTTCAGTTGTTTCTTGTTTTTTTATTGACTTCTGTTTCTTTCCAGAATATGCCAGAAGCAATGCTGGATCCTCAAGAGTTGGCCAACTATCTTCATCACCACGAGCAAAGGATTTATCATTTTCCAATAGCAAATTCTCAGAAGAAATTAACTTTGGCATCTTCGATCTGGCTAAATTCTCCTAGAAAAGTGTTCTTCCCTGTGATATATGCATGTGATGTGAGTATTGAACTGTATTTTTGTCTGCTCCGCCTGCAAGGTGATTTGCAAGTACCTTGCTCACCGGGCTGTGCTTGCCGCCCACTCGCCGGTCTTCAAGGCGCAACTCCTGGGCTCCATGGCGGAAGCGGACATGTCATCCATCATCTTGCATGACATTGCGCCGGCGACGTTCAAAGTCATGCTTCGGTTCATGTACACTGATGCTTGTCCTGCTGATGACGAGATCGGGGACTCCCTGGGCCCCGGAGGATGGCATGTTTTGGCACTTCTAGCTGCAACAGACCGGTTCGCATTGGATTGCCTCGAGATTTTGTGTGCTGTAAAGCTGTGGGATAATATATCAGTGCACACAGTTGCTGCCACTTGGATCTGTGCTGAAACATAGAACTGCCGGCGGCTGAAAAAGACGTGCATTGACTTTATTGCGAGATTCTTGATGAGTTGAGGGAGAAGGTTGGAGCATAGAGGCCGGCAGCATGCCGGCATATATACACGCATGCTATCTAAATATTGAAAAGTGCTTGAATTTTCGGTTTGTAAGAGTCGCTACTATTACGTTACTACTATCATGCAGACTTTTTATTATCCAATCAACAATTTTGGTAGTGAAGTCATTATTGTACTATCTTATTCGTATTGGGAGTCTTGCATATTAGTATCACAATGCAAGTCCGTATGTATGTGTCATGTTTTTCTTAAATTTGTAAACTCACTCAGCACGACAGAAAGATTTGAGCTGTGATCTGAAGAAACGTATGAGATTGTAGGTCTTCTAGGAGTAATGTTTTCAACCATGCTCAAGTACGTCTGGAATGTTACCTCTATGCTAAGGAGTAGTACCACAATACCCATTGCACTATAGTTATCCCATTGTAGTAGGGTCGGCGCATGCTATGTATGGCCTACGGTCCATGATACATAAAACTTTATTATTGTAAGAGTAAGTGTGTTTTCGTTATCAATAAATCTCAAAAGGTATTTTTTATCAGTATGTGTAAATCTATATGCATATTTGGAATCGATTCCGAGAGCCCGACATATTCTTTGGTGGTTGTAAACCAATGCGACTTGAACTTCTTTTTAAACTTGCAACATGCATGACTATAAAAAGTTAGGTGATAGATGGTTTCTTTGTTGATGCAAAAGCAACAGTTTGAGTCCAATATGAGAGGTAAAATAGACCTTTTCCACCATTTTATATACACAATAAATTGGGCCTCAATTAGTTTGAGGCCAAATATGAAGTCTAACTTGAGTCCAAACTGAATCCAATTTATTGCCTCTTTGGCATATTTCCAGCAATCTCCATTTCGCCCAGTTTTGATATGAACATATCAAGACATACTTCCGTGTCAACTACTTGACTGTTCGGAAAAGAGCAGCTATTCTAGTCAATAAAAAGCTATTTTTAATGTACATGGGAATGGAGAAGCAATGAAGTGCAGAATTACAAGGTGGCAGCTTTATGGGGGATCAGGAGCTGCCATGGGCAAGTATATACATTGCAGAAAGGACGGGGAGCAAGACGATACTTCCCTCCGACAGGAAGCAGGCATTACAGTTTCTTGAGGCTGTTTTGCACACTGCGATCGTGGTTTTACGATGAGATTACGCAGTTGCTGCAGCTGCGGCTTCCTCGGCCACCTGGGACGCCTGTTGCAGCGTGCAGATGAGGTTGCGGTCCCCGTAGACGTTGTCCACCCGACCTGGCAAGAGCGCAACAGGGGAAGCAGAGATTAGATTAGCCTCGCTCGAAGTGTTAAGAGGCGAGAAGGCTCGCCCTGGAGACGACGGTTGAGCTATTCGTACCTGTTGTTGGCCAGAACTTGGCGCCCCGGAGCCATGCCGCGGGGAACGCAGCGTACTCCCTGGAATACGGCTTGCTCCATGTGTCACCCATCAAGAGTTGCGGTGGGTGAGGAGCGCCCTGCACAATCAAAGCAAAAGCACAAAACACCTGTGATCCTCTCTCTGTAAACATGCAAGAGGTGTCCTGGCTGTGTGCAAAACCATCTCATTGTGCAAACCTTATAGTAGCATGCTAAATGACACGTACTCTTTATAGTTAGTGATGACTTCTTTCTTTAAAGTTATTCAGACCCAATAGGCAAGGAATATGATTCAGAAGGGCCTAGGAAGCGCTGACTATGTAGAGATATGGCTTGATATGGTGAACAATTGCTACCTGACTGATACCATTTTTTGACACTAATGATATATTACCTTCAGGACATTGTTGAGCACATCTGCTTTGCCATTTTCTATCTCTGCAATCTCTTCCCTGATGGAGATAAGAGCATCACAGAACCTGTCCAGCTCGGCCTGCCAAGACAAAATGTTATGAATATCATAAGCTAATGTGAAATCAACTAACTGATATAATGGGAAGCAAAAGAGTGCCAAAAGCTACATATGCTTACCTTGCTCTCACTTTCAGTTGGTTCAATCATAAGTGTGCCAGGAACAGGCCATGACATAGTTGGTGAGTGAAACCCGTAGTCCATCAGGCGCTTTGCCACGTCCTCTGGCTCTATACCAGCAGTCGTCTGACAAAGTTCCAGGAGCCGGTTAGAGACTGCAATGCATCGCTGCATGGTTCAATTGCTAATATGATTCAGATATAAGTACCTTAAATCCTCTTAAGTCAATGATGAATTCATGGGCAACTGTTCCGTTGACTCCACGGAACAGAACCGGGTAGTGTTTCTGCAAAAAGATCATTACCAAGTAAATTTTATAAACTAATTTGATGAATATAACAAATGTCACTAAGGTATGCTATCATGAATGAAAAAGTACCTCTAGACGTTTTGCCATGTAGTTTGCATTCAAGATCGCGATCTTTGAAGCATCAGTGAGTCCCTGTGAACCCATCATGGCTATATATGCATAGGAAATTGGCAGAATCAAGGCAGAACCCCATGGAGCACCAGAAATGGTACCAAGAGGGTCGGTTTTCTCAGGGAGAGGAAAGCCACCAGTGGGAATCTGATAATAACCGGATTAATCAGATGATGTGGTTGTATTTTATTTTGGATGAAATGATGGAAGCATGCAGAAATTATGAATATTTTTTCTGGTTCACTGCTCTGCATTTATAGAACGGTATGATTTGTTAACACATCACCACTAAATAGTACTTACAGTAGTATTGCCTGCAATGCTTTCAACATGAAAGAAAATGCTGCAAACACTTTCTTGCTTCACTAGTTTAGGACAGGACATGAAAATAAGTCCTTAGGTTGCAGAATACGATAGGACAACAAGGGTTCTAGTCTTGAAAGAATAATGTAAGATTGGTCGTAGCATAGAGAAACACTTGGGGAATCTATCTTAATCTTCAATTTGAACATCTTAGGAAACTGTTCTTGGAAGTTAAACATGGTTATAGTAATCTGTTTTGTGTTGTATGAACATGGAACTTTACAAGCTCGTAAAATTAGAGTGCAAGGTCGTGACACTTTCTATAATACCAAACTTGTGTCACAAATCAAGTTAAGCGTCGAATAATGGGCAGTACTAATATGCCTCAAATCTGAATATATGCCTCAGATTGGAATATGAATTTTTACGGATTGACAAACGAGAAGATAAAGAATTAAGGGAACCTACCACTGGGTGAGATGGTAAAAACGGTGCCAAATGCTTCTTAACCCCAATAGGACCCATGCCGGGACCACCTCCACCATGTGGAATGCAAAATGTCTTGTGAAGGTTAAGGTGACAAACATCAGCTCCAATAAAACCAGGGCTTGTTAACCCAACCTGTAAAAAGAAAACTTTTGTAAGCTCAAGGAAATTTCTAGTGAACCAATTATTTTGGCAATAGCTATCCAATAAGGGGCATTTAAGTCCTGTACTAGGTTCAGGTGAACTAGGAGAAAATACTTTTCTTATAGAACAAAAAGGAGTTAGGAACATACAGTTTGATAGATTATACACAAAATTTAATCACTAAATATTTTCAAGAGAACCACATAATTACTTATCTTGCTAATGCTAAGTACTGAACTCTAATAGATTTGTCTCGTAAGTTCACTATACAAGTATTTTATTTTCAAAATAAGAAGAATCAACTTCATCGCATTGTTGGAATGCCATCTACACATAGCAATATAAATGTGTCCCATAATTTTTTAGAATAATAATTTCTTGAAGAGATTGCTTGCATAATGAACAAAGTACAGAAGATGGAATAGCAAACTGTGAAACAGTAACCTGAGCATTCATGTTAGCCCCGTCCATGTAGACCTGTCCGCCATTTTCATGAATGATCCTGCAGATCTCATCAACGCCTTCTTCATAGACTCCGTGAGTTGAAGGGTAGGTAACCTGAAAATAAGTCAATATTGTAATACTCTGTTATTCTCGGCATACAGCAAAAAGAATTTCAAAATTTCTTTTGAAAACAACAAATTCCATCCTAATTGAATTTTTCATTTTCCTTAAAAAAAATCCTAATTGAATTTTCACATTTCCATGGTTCAACAATATTCACTCTAATCCACCAATTATCTGTACATCAATAAACGAAGTGGTGGGCACCTCTTTCTATTCCTCCTATTGTATATGTTATGTATGACAAGTACCATTAGATGAAGTATTATGAGGCAGATGTGATTGCAAAAGTCATCTAACTCACACCATAACACTAAATAAGCCCTTGTTTAGTTCGCGAAAAGTTTTTCCAAAAAGTGCTACAGTATCCGTCACATCGAATCTTGCGGTACATGTATGGAGCATTAAATGTAGACGAAAATAAAAACTAATTGCACAGTTTGGTTGGAAATTGCGAGACGAACGTTTTGAGCCTAATTAGTCCATGATTGAACACTAATTACCAAATAAAAACGAAATTACTACAGTAGCCAAATTTCGCACTTTTCGTGAACTAAACGCGCGCTAAAGCAAGAAGGCTACACAGTGATAATCTTTCAAAATTGCATAAAAATGAACTACATAAAGGTGAGCTTTTTTTTCAAAAAGCCACGGGCGAGAGAATCGCCAGGCATATATTAATAGAGATGAAAGAGTAAATGTCCAATGTAAATCTTCATATTAAAAGAGCATAACAAGAGCAAGAGTACCATCAGAGCAGCCAAGTTGTCCTTGTTTGCTTCTGCAGCTTTCCTCAATTCCTCGATGTTTATGTTACCCTTGGAATCAGTTCCAACAGCAACAATCTTCATTCCAACCATAGCAGCACTTGCAGGATTTGTGCCGTGTGCTGAGACAGGAATGATGCAGACATCACGGTGGTGGTCTCCTCTTGACTGCATTTTATCAGCATAATTATTTAACAAAGATTACTAGAAAAGCAAGAGAGGAAAAGGCTAGGCCACATAGATCATGACATACGTTGTGGTATGCACGGATAACCATCAA